ATGTGCAGACTGTCTGAAACAAAAATCCAACGTATTTCTCGTTCTCCTACCCGTTGCTTTCTTCAGATAAACGAATAAGCAATGGAGCAGTTGGAGAAGTTCAAGTGCCTCGTAGTCGCGTCTACTGGTGATGGAAAATGGGAAAGAGATCGACGGGTGAATTGGAGTTGCTAGTGGCGTTCTGCGTGAACTAGCTCGAACCGCCGTGATTAAAGCAGAGCGGAGTTTGAAGACTAGGCTCTCAGTATTCAAATCGGATCTTCATCACCCAGTAATTATCTTCGATCATGAGCCTTGGACCATAACTAAAAAACTTCGATTCATGAGCAGAAGCAAGAGGCTAAAATGAAGTTTCCGAGAGAAAATGTTGAACTGACGAGTCTGAACAGTACAGATATCTTGGAGAGCCTTGGTTTACAGCTGAGATAGTCTGGTTAGGCGTTGCGAATGCTTCTAGAAAGGAAGGCGAAGCAACTATTAATAACCCATCAGACCGGCCGAGGATACCGATTAAGCCCAAGAATGTCTTATGAGAAGTTACTGGAGAGATTATTCGAGAATCAAATATCATCTGGCAAACGATTGACCAAACTGTGTGAGTTGTTTGTAAATAAACGGTGTTTCCTGCTAAAGCATAAATCTCCTCGTCTTTTAATGCAGTATTCTTACATTGGAATATTTCTTCATTGACAGATGCCATGTTGGCGAACTGCCGTTTTGGAGCGGGTCGAGTTCGATGAGGTAAATACACTTCGCCATCTAGACAGCCATTAAAACCGTCGGTGATGTGCCTAAATATCTGAACGGAAACCGGCTGCATCGTAGATGCGACGGCGATCGTATCTTCGCATGACGACAGGCCGAACTCCTTCCGCCGTTGCTCTTTAAGTGCTCGAAGCTCGCTCCAGCCGCCGCAAGTAGCCAACACAACTTTCCATGTCAGCAGCAGCACTTTTCGCATTGGATAATGCGGAGCTGCGCCCGAACAATACTTCGTGATCATTTCGAGTAGTAGATCAGAGAGCAGACTCTCGCTTCCGAACAGAGGGAGACTGAGTTCAGCGATAAACGACGCTTTACAATCTGCCTGGTCCACCACACTGGCTTCTTCAGGGAAAACTTCCTTAATTTCTTCTGATCTGCGGATCGCCTCCAACATAGTGTACATGGAGGCCAGAATCAGGCGAATAGTAAGACTGTCCTCTATACACCGACCAACAACGGCATCTGGGTCTAGAAAAAATCATATAGATTAATCCAAAAATAACACATATCGAATACAACTTCAAAATTGACAACGACTAGGACGTGCATATCTAGCAAATGTGCTACAGTGATGAAAAGAAGAAAAATATCAGGAGGAATTGCATAACCTCAAATGAAGAAATGTCATAAAATAAAGCAACATCGAATGATTGGTCAACCGTAGAAGTGAATAGTACTGATCCGGCAAATAATCACATTTAGAAAACCAAAACCTCAAAAGGACACCTTTGACAGCTTTCAGACTGGCACCTCCAATAAATCAAAAAATATTTTAAGGAGACTGGAAAACTCAAAAGTCGACCCTGAAAAATAGTCTGCCACATGATCACTGGTTCAGCTTACAACATAGCGACCGCTTGCTCTGATCATTACCTCGAGATCTGCAGTAGAAGATCGTCTACTTTAAGATGCCGGCCTCTTATTCAGATTTTCAGTACACCGCATAGAGTTTATATATTATTGAATTGTTTTTCTTTCAAAGCTTCGATCTTGTATATTCCTATTGCAGACTGATTTCTTGACATGTTTCAGAAAAAAACTTCGAGTGGCGAACTGCAACACATGATTTACGTTGATCCAATTTGTTGAACAAGGCCAACATCCATTTTTGAATGTCAACATCTATGGAGGGTACCTGTACCCGCAAGAGAATAAGGTCATTGGTTAACCGATCATGCCCCTTAACTGTAACTATACAGTGACCGCATGTTGTTCAACCGCCTTTCTTGGCCGCTCGCTAAAATGGCCACCTCGTCTCAAACGTAGACAAATGGACTTTCGACGAAAGAGGATACTCGACAAGATGCCAAAAACACAGGAAGCGACAAAGGTTCTTCCATCTAACTTTAATTCGCAAGCGCAGTTTCTAGAGATTACGAAACCGCAGTTTTTTACTAGTGAATCTCCTTTACCGCTCCCCCATCTCCTTTCCACTACGGGATCTATTTTACCTGACGAGTTCCATATAACCCTCGAACTCACTTTCGCTGATCTGCTGCATATGCAACTAACCAGGTGTCGAAGTCTGTCTGTTTCCCACACCACTTACTAAGACAAGGTCATACGCACTCTACTGATGAGGAAGCTGCTGGGTATCTTGAATTGCGGCTTAACTATGGAATGAAACCCTGGTCTTTGTCACATCAGCAATGTTTCAGATGTGAAAATCGAGAACAGTACTGAATACTCAAAATTTAAATTGAAAAGCTGATGAGCTGCATGCTTATTCAGAAACGTTCAGATAGTTTTCCGTATACCTCCAAAGCAAGTATGGTTAAGCCGTACGCTTCTTCCAAAATTGAAATGATGCGCTCAAATTTCCCAGGTATCGTATTTCAAGACTTTCTACATTGTTGGGCAGCGTAATATACCAAACGTAATCGTTAAAATGGAGGAACGCGACAAACAGAGGTAAATAAAATCATTGGCATTGCTCTATATGAAGTAAATGGTGAAAATTATGCCATAAAAGGAACGCCTCGTCTGAAAACCTACCTTATTCAGACGAAGTCTTCCTCAAATAGCCTGACTGAGCTTTTCGGGATGACGAAAATCGACTGCACTGTGATACCATGAGAAGGGGCCTGTCTCCCACAAAAATAGGGACAAACAAGAAAGTCCAATTTCACACAGAGGGCTGGAGCATTTCATTCCCGCCTCTCTACATGTGATTAATTCTGCTATATCATTCCACAAGACAAGTTTTCTTTACTTTGAAATATAATGAGTTCTGAATATTTCTGTGTTTCTATCTGCATTAACTGCCAGTGTTGGCAGGTGATTAACAGTCACAAGGGACGAATCTGGGGGAAGGTGGGGGGGGGCGGTTGCTGGAGAACTGTTACAGATAATTAGCTGAATGTTTGGTTTCTCGAGACGTGATAACAGTTCAACCTTGACACAGCAGATGTATGTGAACGTGAATCGAGTCTGCTGCTTACCGGGCACGTGTTGCACCATATGAAACACAGTTCACCAGTCTAGTTGCCATATCGAATTTCACGCTAGATTTCTCCTGCAACTAAATATTTCTTGTCACAGGCGATCAATTAAAGAGCACAAACGAGAGAACAATGCGATGAGTTCTGGAACACAACGGACTTGCAAGAAAAAGTTCATAAAACAAATGGTAGAAGGGAAGAAAGCGGCATCCTGAGGGACAACGGGGGACAACGTTCCTAGATCCTGGGAAACTTTCAAGAGAGGGTCTAAGCTCATAGTCGCAATGCAAACATATTCCACACCGGCTACATGAAAAATGGGCTGCAAAAATAAGACATTATTCAGAATCACCGTAGGATACAATATATCCGTTCTAATTATAATCTTGTACCATACCTGGAGGCTTTGCGTCAGCATCGAGCTCTAACCGCAATAGCATGCACAGCGATGGCCACAAACCACAACGGTAGAGGAGGAACGCGTTGACGCAGATGTTCCTAAACACCTGCTCCTTGGTATCGCACTCGGCAAAGTTTCCCTGTAGCAAGTAGAGGAAGCAGCGAATGGAAGTGAGTCTCTGCTCAACTTCCACCCGCTCCATCTCTTGTAACATGAAGTGAACGAAGTTGCTCCTCTCGTTCTCACTGGCGGTCGTCCAACTGGCAATCTTCAGAAGCTCGGCGCAACGCTCGTAACATTTCTGGTTGCCCAAAAAATTTTCCAGTTCCGAGTACGAATAAAGTTCAGACAGCTCTTGCAGAAATGAGCCACAGTCGCCATATTTAAAGTCGAAAATTATGTCCGACTTGACAGGGTTCTGGTCCGTCTGAAAGTACGAGTCAAACTGCACATTACATTTAGATCTTGACAGCGCTACGTTAAGCCTTTATGAGCGAAACTCAGATTCTCGTGAAATACGTACATCGATTGAGTCGAAGTTCTCCCTGGCGTTCGGGGGACACAGCTTCGGAAGTAATGCTGACCGACGAGCTGCCAGGCCTATCACAGGATTGTTCCCACCGCCGCCCACTACTTCGTTCTGTTTCAATGCTGGTTTTGTATCGTCCATCCAAACTGAGTCCATGTTGAACGCGCAGAGTAGCTACAGTACTTTCTGCAGTCCCTGCACAGCTTTCAAAAACGATACCCCACAAGTGACACCGTATATCCTGCTCTGAAACCGGTGGTTAATTCTTCATCGTTACCGATCTATGAACGGGAATTTTGTAAAGTAACGCTTCAGAAAGAAAAAATAGATTCGTTTATCAAATTCAACGTGAAGAACAAAAAAAGCTTATTCTGAGACAATGAACTTACACTGGCTACAAAAGGTTGTAATTGAAAACTATTCTTTACCTAAGGTGATTTTTCAACAGTCTATCCAACTCTTCATCGGCAAATTTATTTGTTTTCCAATCTGTAAACAACAAGCATTAAGATGATTTACTGATCTGAATAAATATTATTACAGGAATCATTCCAAAATAGATAAAAAATCATTAATGCGTTGGTGGTCATGTTGTAAAACAGCATAGAGCATGGTATGTTAATACGCAGTTACCAAAGTTTCGGCTCGTGTCTTATTAGCCTTCTTCAATTAGCAAGCTGCCATAGTTTAATAGTTTCGGAGGTTTTTCTTGTTGCCCTCAGCGGTTGGCAGGTTTTGAGCCAGAAGGCCTTGGCGGGCCGAAACCGAACGTCGGTGTTGACCAATCATCTTACTCACGACGTTATTTTTTGCCTTGTGTATTAATACATCGTGTTTTATGCCGTTTCTGAAGAATCATTATAATTATATGTAGGGATTCGACTAAGATATACCACGAATGAACTTTATACTTTATTATAGCTGACATACCCATATGGAAAGTGAAAATAAAGTTTTCATGCTAAAGGGCACGTCTTACTCGTATTCAGTAGCAGTACTAGCAGTACTATTACCAGCAGTAACAGTACTAGTAGTAGAAGCAAATTTACTTGAATGTGCAAAATGCCAAAGAATAAGGTTATAGTTTTTCATTTCAGCAGTTCAATTCGACTACGTATTATCAACCGATAAAGATGTTCCTTTCGATGAGGCAAACTGCTTTGTTCTGTTCAATATTTTGCAGCGAATGATAAACGGAACGAGGGATTACATGAAACCATCAGTCTTACATCGAACGAGCGTAAATGGTGCTCGTAGCGGGTTCGTCAATGTTTCCATATAGGGGTTGCTATATCGTTGTGATGAGGATGCTTGGCATCTGCGAGGACACTGTCACAGAGGTTCACGGCACTCGTTACCACTAAAGCTGGCAAGCTGCTTTGCAAGAGCCTGCACATCAGATCTCGACAGAGGCTAGTTCAGGCAGAACGCGATGGCAACCAAATGAGGCAATCGAAATATCTGCAATGGCGGCGCAGAGAAGCAATCGCATCATGCAGCCTTGCCAGAAAACTGCAACATGCTTTGCCACACTTCAACAGTTTCACTTTCAATATTTCTGAGAAACAAAA